GTGTGAGTTGAACACACAATGTTTTATTGATCGATTTACAATTTTAAAGCAATTTGGAAGCCTACCAGTGCCTCAAGCAGAATAATAAAATAAATTCTAAGTACATATATATTTTAGTATTTGATTTTATGTTTTTTATCATGGAAAATCAGAGCTCCCCATGCCCACTTCACACACCAGGATGCAGGTCCAGGCTCCTCATTCCCCACCCACAGCTCCCCCACACCACTTTGCTCCCCTTTACTCCCTACCCACAGCCATCTCCGCTCTGCTGTTGCCCTCACCCCAACTGTGTAGTTTAGGTATAGTTAGACAAGCTTTTGAATGCCTTGACCATCACAGCTATAACACTCTAACACATTTATTATAAAGCAACAGCAGAACTGGAGAAATGTGTCAAACTGAGAATCAAATTTGTGTCATGCTTTTTTCCACCGGTTATAATTTCTTTCTTTTCAAAAGCCTAGTAAGGAACCCATGTTATAAAGTAAAGATTTAGTTTACATTTTGAAAGTATTTACTCGCCATCCATTTAAACAGGAACAGTATTTTTTGTACTTATCTTGAAATTCTGTGACATGCTGTTTCATATGGAAGTATTTTGCAATTTATCATTTATATTCATAACATTCATGAAAAACATATCAAGTCAGTGATTATTATTGCTATCCTGATGTTTGCATGTATTAGCTAGACACCTATATATGTTTGTTTTTTCATTTTCCTTTTTCCTAGGTCCAGAACTTGACATTGCGTAGTCAGAAGCCGGGGGTATTGTCCAGTTCCCCAACTGGACAACCAAAGAGCAGTAGTCAAGCTCAGTCTTTAGCTCTATGCCCTAATAAAACTGCGATCAGTACCAAGGGCAGCCAGCCAGATCCTGCAGAAAGCAATAGAAAAGGAGAGAGCCCAACTTCCGAGAGTCGAAGTACACCTGTCACACGGACATCCAGCATACATCAGTTAATAGCACCAGGTAGGATGAAGCTTTATCTTTAGAAAGGTTGTTACTTAAACATGCAGTGTATCAGATAAAAAACACACACAGGTGTCTGATACCACACTGAATGAATCGGGTTTTAATCTTTTAGAGATAAATAGTTATCCATAGTAGTGCTGGAAAAAATTATACACTAGAATTCTCTGTGCTTCCACAGAGAGGAAGGGAGGGAAATGGAAGCAGACAGACAGAATAGGAAAGCAAAAAGGTGTGTATGCATGTTTCTCTATATAATCTAGTTTAGGTATTAATATAATTTATTGCTGTTGCTTTGGCACCCAAAAGTTGGCTCAGTTGTGATCAGGAAACAATTGTGTTAAGAATTTTTAGATGTTCATAAATAAACGTGTTTCCAACTCAAAGATTTTTCTAATACAATATAAAAGGTGTAATAAGTAAGTGTGACAAAAGGAAAGAATGTGAGGGATGAGGTCAACCAAGATAAAGTTATGTACATACTTAAATTGGTTATTGTGTAAATTCATATCTCCTGGTGAGTCAAAGGGTAGAAATGTAGTCTGCGCAAGTGGTCTGAATGAGGCAGAGAAGCCATGCTTTCAGAAGAAGAGAAAAGAGAGTGAGGCTGCAAGGAATACAGCTCTGGAATCCTTGTCTTGTCAAAATTGACTTCAGCCAGAGGGGGAAAAAAGAAACAGTGTCCTATTTAAAAATAAATAGATGTGATATAATAATTAGTAATCAAAGGAAAGAAAGAAAGCAGCAGGGGTATATGTGGAGGAGTATGGTTAGTTTCTCTACTGTAGGCAGTTATTCAAGTGGGGTCACTGGCTCCTTTTGAAGAGAAGAAAGAACATTACTGGAAATCAGGCCAGTTTTAGAAGTCTAACTATTCATATATTTGCCCAATTTTGGGCATCTGAGTTTTGACAAATTTGGCCCAAATATGCTTAGTTAAAACAGGGCTTCTGGCCCATTCTTGTTTTAAAGCTCATATTTAAAGAACAGTACCCAAGCGGTAATTTGTTTTAAGTAAATTTTGACTCCGCTGAACTTCTTTCATTTTTGGCTATGTTAAATCAGGTTAAATCCCAGTTCCTCTTCAACTTGAATGTATTTTTTAACTAAAAGAGGAGATCTCATTAACAATCTTAGACTTAGCAGCAAGAAAATAATGACTTTGCAATTTCTTGATCTTAGATTTTATTAAGAAAAGATGATTTTATGAAATTGTTTACTGCAGCATTTCACTTTGGAATTTATCAAAATTAATGTATTCCTTACCTCATTGTGTTTGAGATGCTACATGTGACAGTAAAGAGTATTTTCCATTGGATTTCCAACTGATGCTTGTCTGGATAGATTCTTCAAGTTCTATGCTGACGTTACTCTTCTAATATGAAAACTTTCTCCTTTAAAAATGTATTGTAGTGTTCCCTGAACTAAGGAAATAATTACTAATTGTCATTTTTTTTCCCCCCTCACAGCTTCATATTCTCCAATTCATCCTCATTCTCTCATTAAACATCAGCAGATTCCTCTTCATTCTCCACCTCCAAAGATATCCCACCATCAGCTGATACTGCAACAGCAGCAGCAGGTCCAGCCAATTGCTCTTCAGACTCCTCCCAGTCAGGAACCACCTCCATCACAACACTGTGTACCACTCCAAAGCCACTGTCTTCCTCCAGTTCCCAACAGTGTCCAGTCACAACATTGTTCCCCTGTTCACATCCATCCTCCTCCTTTAACAGTATCTCCTACTCCATCCCAGTCAGCTCAACAATCAGTAGTAGTGTCTCCCCCACCTTCTCATTCACCTAGCCAGTCACCCACAATAATTATTCATCCACAAGCACTTATCCAGTCGCAAACAAATCCTCTTGTGCCATCTGCTCTTCAGTCAGAGCAGAATCCCCAGCCGACTGGTAGTCCAGTACGACCAGTAGCACAGCAGCTTAATCTTCCATCACATCTTCCACTTCCACCTTCCCCAGTAGTACCCATTGGATCAGTGGATCAGCCCACCCTGGTGTCCCCAGGTCAGCAGATAGTGTCTTCAGCACCACACCAACAATATCCAGCCTTACAGTCTGCACCAATCCCAATTGCAGCCCCTCCACAGCTGTCAGCATCTTCAACACAGATTCAACAACTACCCTTGCAGTCTGTGCAGTCTTTACAAGTCCAGCCTGAAATTCTATCCCAGGGCCAGGTTTTGGTGCAAAATACTTTGGTGTCAGAGGAGGAGCTTCCTGCTGCAGAAGCTTTGGTCCAGCTGCCATTTCAGACTCTTCCACCACCGCAAACTGTTGCAGTAAACCTTCAAGTACAACCACCAGTACCTGTTGAAGCCCCTGTGGTAAGTTCTCAGAAACCTTCCTTTAGTTTTTGTTGTTATACGAAAAGAGAGAGACTCTCTAACACAGTTGCCTTCTGGCCACTGACTGGAAAAATCCCGTAAGTCCGAGTAAAGAGGAATCTGTTGTCAGGTTTGGTAAAACTGACCTTGCTGTGTGGCACCCAACAGGTGAATCCAATGAGGTGTTGAAAAGGTGGCTCCCAGTCTTTATAACAAGCGATCCCAACATATCTAGATTTAAGTAAGGTTCTTTGGGTAGATGTGATATCTTTTATTAGACCAACTAAGTAGTTAGTGTAATAAAAGACCAACTAAATAGATTTAAGCAAAGCATTTGATACTGTCGTACAGGAAATTATTAATTGTGGGGAGTTTATATAAAAATTATAAAGTGAATAAGGAGCTAGCTGAAGGAAGAAACTACAATGCGTTATACTGAAAAGGGAGTTATTAGATTGGAGAGAGGTTATTTGTGGCTTTCTGCAGTGATCAGTCGACGGATCACTTCTATTTAATATTTTTCATGCAAGACTTTGATGCAAGAACCAATTACATGCTTATAAATTCGCAGATGATAAATTGTGGAACTGTCTTTCAAGAGATTAAAAGAGCTTGGCTTGTTTAGCCTGGCAGATGAAAGTTGAGAAGGATATAATTACTTTTCAGAAATACATTGTGGTGGAAGTTAATGAGGGAGAATTGTTTAAATTAAAAGATAAATGTCCTATAGGATTATACTGGTACAAATTAATTCTGAATAAATTTAGACTGGAATTTAGATAGAAGGTTTCTAGCCATTAGAATAGTGAAGTGCTAATTAGCTTTCAGAAAAAAATTTTAGGGGCGCCCCAAGTAGTTTCAAGATGACAACTGATAAATTCTGAGAAGGGTTGACAAAATAGGCATGATTGTGGAGTTAATTACAGCTGGTGATATACTTTAGTTTTCTGGGTTATTAGCATCTCCAAGAGATTGAAAGGTGGCTTGATAATTGTGGGAGGAGCATGCATGTTAAGGAGCTGTGTCGGGGTATGGGGTTTCTTGACTACTGAGGCCTGGTAAAAGAGGTTGAAGCCAGACAAGTGGTCTGAGTGGGAGAGAGAGCGAGTGAACATTGGAGTGGCCTTTGTATTAGAGTGGTAGATTAGAAATATCCTGGGGTCTTTGAAGGTGGGTTCAGGGTGCTTGCAATGAGGTGCTTTAGTTTAGATCAGGCCACAGAGGGTTAACATGTGGGCTATGGGCTTTTGTCCAGCTGTCACTCCCCCAGGTGGTGCTGCTGCTGTGGCCAGGGTCTGTGGGCAAGGCAGTGTGGTGGGAGAGACCCAGTGAGCTGGATGGGCTCGCACTGCCTGTGTGGTGGCAGGAGTTGTTGGGGGTGGGGGAAGGGAAGCATATGTGCCCATGCAGTCCTGGGGAGGCTGTATTGGCTGCACAGGCTCCCCAGGACTAGTGTGGCATGCAGCCCCAGCCACTCAGAAGTTGGACAGCCCTGGTTTAGATAACCAGGACCTCTATGGTTCATACACACAAACAAGGAAGGCCAGGGTGGGAGGTAGTGCTGGCCCTTTCTGGATTAGGTTTCCTTCCCTTCTTTATCCTTCTTCCTCTTGTGTTTTTAATATGTTTGCATGTATGTTTGATGTTTCAGGCGTTGTGTTTGGTGGTTGTGCTTGAGAGTTTGTTTGTTCCTGAAGCTTTTAAGAATAGGTTAGAGAAACATTTTCTAGGCTGGTTTAGATTGAGATGATCCCACCTGGAGCAGGTGGTTGGACTAGACTGCATGAGGGTCCTTCCAGCTGTACTTTTCTATGTATCTATGCTTACACGGATTTTTTTTCTATAATGTTTGCTCTTCTGTATCCTGTTGAAGGTCCAGGGCTTCTGCTGATTACTTCTGGGGTGGAAAGAATTTTTTTTCACCCTCAAATGGATTATTTGTTTTCTGCACCTGCTGCAGCATCAGTTATCCCTGCACAGCACCCATCTCAATTCATTTGCCGTTAAATGACATTTTAGACTAAACACTAAGCAAGAACAGAAACACATCAGAAATGGAAATTAATAAAAAAACAGCTAAAGAGAACGTTTTCATATAACTCCTCCTTCAGGAGCCATTGGGAAATTGCCTAAGAGCTGGCTGTTGCTCACAAACTGTGGTTTGACCATTGTTGGTCTGTTCTATGGTTACACATGGTTGCAGGGGACTGATTCTGGGCCAGATGGTCCCCTTCAGTCACATGTTCCTATCCTGTCTTTGCAGAACCATGTCTTTATGTGGCAGTTAATAGCTCATTACCCAAATGTTTTGTTTTCCAAATATAGTGAAGCCCAAGAATACGTGACAAGTGCCCCACTACTTAGGAGTCTTAATTCAGCTCTCATTAACAGCGGTGCCACTAACATAAACCAGGCTCCCTCAGGAACTTGACTACACATTTTTAATGTTGCTAACATGGCTCTCCTACCACATTTGCTACATTTTAGGACGGGGTCGGCAACCCCCGGCACGTGTGCCGAGCATGGCACGTGAGGCCATTTTGCTCGGCACACTGCTGCCAGCCTGGGCTCTAAGCAGCTTCTGCCAGCCACAGCCCAGGCTGCTCCCAGCAGGCGACTGGGAGGCTGCAAGCAGACCGGGCTCCGTGGGCCGGCTGCAGCTGGGAGGCTCCAGCACGTTGGCACTCCGGCACCTTTCAAGATGGACATTGTGGTTTTTTCTGCACTCCGGCCAAAAAACATTACCTACCCCTGTTTTAGGAGTAACTTAGTGCACGAAGCAGCAGGGCTGCTTTAATTGTACTGTGTCATTTGAAAGTTCCCATGTAGGAGGGATTTCTTCACTGCCAATCTTCATATTTAAGTTGGCTGGGAAATCTGGATGTTGACTTCAGTTGGAATTAGTTGGGTATTGGGCTGAGAGGAAAAAGAATCATTATTGATTACAGAAGTATATTTCAACTGATATTTTAAAAAAGACATTTTCTATGTGAAACCCTCTGACACTTCCTGGTGCAGCATCCTGGAATATTCAGCATTTAGAGTCATATTAACCTAAATCACTAAAAAAATATTTCCTCCATCCTTTCTTTTGGCCTGTGTAAATATAAGTTACAAATGTATATATTTGTTAAGCTAGAATACCCTTTCTGAGAATTCAAAGCATTTGGTTTTGTATATGCTGAGGGTCGACATTTAACACCTGTATAAAATGGGGCTATTATAAAAAGGGCAAAAATAGTAGGCAGAGATGACACTGCAAACATCTACTGTAGATGCAGAGCCTGAGTCTATAGTGTAGTTCATTGGAAGTCCAGTCAGTTTGCTAGTAGACCTGTCTTTAATTGTTGCCTGATACAGATGATGATTACAGCAAGGAAGGAAGAGTGTTTATTTTATACCAAAAGTTGAAAACAAGCCTCCTTCATCTAAAATCTTGCCAATTTTTAGGAAATGAAACAGTTAATGAAACTGAAGAATATATGATCATAATGAAATGAAAGTTGCATATGTAAAGTATTAAAGAAAATTTTAAAAAAGAAAGTTTGAAGAATGTTTTATGTGGACTTAGAGGGTAGATTCAGGCTAGATATCAGGAGGTGCTACTTCACTGTCAGGACAGCTAGGCTCCGGAACCAACTTCCAAGAGAAGTGCTGGCTCCTACCCTGGGGGTCTTTAAGAGGAGGTTGGATGAACACCTCACTGAGGTTTTTGACCCCAGTACTCTTTCCTGTCTATGGCAGGGGGTCAGACTTGATGATCTGCTTAGGTCCCTTCTGACCCTACCAACTATGAAACTATGACTAGAAAACAGATCATGCATAGTAGGAAACATGCTTAGAACACATCTCTGTGGACCGTGAATTTTTGGCACTCCTGTATTAATACAGTACAACTTTATATGCATAAATGTATTTTATAATAGAAAAAATCTTAGATTTTAGAAATCAGGATGCCATAATGGAAAGTTACAGATAACTAAATCTCCAATAGTTGCTTGTACTGCAGATGAAAACTCTCCTAAAAAAAAAAAAAAAGACATAGCGGAAATTTTAATGACCTCTTGTTTGTCCCCAAACCTTGCCGTGGGAGAATTGGTCTCTAATCTCATTGTATTTTTAACCAAAGTCTTTTTGGCTTTATTCCTTTGGCCCTGATACAGCAAAGCACTTGGGCATGTGCTTAAGTATAAGTGAGATCAGTCCTATGGTCTTAAAATTAAGTATATGCTTAAGTGCTTTTTCACTTGGCTATCTTGAACTGTGTCCTAATAGCTACTACAGCTGTCATATTTATAGGCCACCTACCCAGGCATTTTCATTGGTTTCCACTTGCATGCTTAAATGAAAAGAGTATCTTGTATATTGTCTTATTTATAGTTACAATTATTTCTTCACTCATTACTTGTGGGGGTTCATGTGTCTGTTAAATATTGAAAGTGTGATGTTACTTTTATACTAGTAGCTTAAGAAATATTAAGGGATGTGAATGTGCATTGAAAAGAACATAAAAAGTGGAAAACTAATGCACGTTGAACTTCTGTGCTTACCAGGAAAAAGCACAAATGAATAAGGCCTCCGTGTAGTGGTGGAGGTAAGATTTATATAAGATGTATTTGATCAAATAACACCCATAAACTTATTTACATTTGAAACAGATTGTGAAAATATGCAAGTGGAATATTATGGCAGTTGTGTTTGCCTTCTGAATTTTATGCAGAACAGAGGCAGACATCCAGCTGGGGTGATTTCTAGACAGCTTGTTGGAAACACCTGACTTTGAAACAGAAGCGTATTATCTTTCTTTAAATTGTACTACTTTGGATTTCGAACTATATACAAAAATAAGATATATTTCCTGGTCTCCAGCTTCCTAATCTGACACCAGCTTTATTTCAGAAAATCCCTGAGCCATCACAGATTCAGTTCTGATTGGCCAGAAATATAATTGTGTCTGTTCCAAATAAAGTTTAATATGGCTAATAACATAATTCACATTA